ATTTCTACAAAAGTAAAAATACTTTCTAATAAAGAACACTTTCCTCTGGAAAAAACAACATGAATGTGTCTTGTATGTTCCCAAATCTCTGAGAACAGTGGAACAGGCCAATATAATCATTTCCTTCCTTCCCAAAGACAACTACTAAACCCAAGGCTTTCTAAAAATGTACTAGAAGTAGGAATTGGGATTTCCATAAGCTAATAAGAGCTTACAGACAATATGCAAGCAATATGTATAAGCTTTTTATTCAATAATTCATGAGTTTTCAGTGGGCTCTGTTTTTAATGGCTTTTAAGGAATTACTGGAATTTATCTATTTTTTTAACTTCCATCATTCATTCATCCAACATTTATTAAGTGCCTCACATCTATTTCAACAGGATTTTTTAAAAAGTAGCAAGACATAGCCTGTGACCTTGAGGGTTTCACCATCTGCCATATATTGATTAACATAAAGCCTCTTTGTGTTGAAATGTTCCTAGTGATTGAACTCACCGGGTGAGTGTGTTCATAGGTGAGACACAGTTATGTCTCAAGCCTTCTTTTAATTTATTTTTTATTTTGAAACAAGGTCTTACGAAGTCATTAAGGTGCTTGTACTGGACAGGAATTCCTCCTACCTCAGCCTTCGGTGAGTGCTGGGATTACAGGAGGGCAGCATCTCATGCATAAGCCTATTTCTTTTAGTGCACAAAGTATAGCTTTTTCTTCCAAGCTAAATTTTTCCTTTGGTTCCTGCTATATATTAGGCACTCAATAAAAATTTGTTACCTATATTTCACCCTGACATCTTTGTTTCCTAGTTACTGAAAAAGATGGTACAGACTTAAAAGATAAGCAAAATTTTAAAGAAAAAACAAGCATGAACCCACATATTAATGGTAGATTATGGACCCAAAAAAGTTAAGGACTAGGACAAGAATCTGAAACACCTGATTTCCAGATAATGTCCATCACTAGAGATATAAACCCCTCCTTCTTTTTCTTTTGTTTTTTTCAGTGTTTTGTTTTTTGATACAGGGTCTCACTATGTTGTCCAGGCTGGCCTTGAACTCTCTGTGTATCCTAGTCTGGCCTTGAGCACCCAGCAATTCTTCTGGCCTCCCAAGTGCTGGAATTACAGGCATAGGCCACCATGCCCAGCCCTCCCTCTTTCTTAGCCTAGGCACACACATCTTTCTTTGGGCTCTCTGGTCTCCTGTATAGTACTGTTTATGGAGTGGAGTTCAAGCCGCTTCCTCAAGCTAGGAAGCCGCACTAGCTGTAAGCAATTCGAGCATGACTCTGCCCAGGCGCTTTAGCATCAGCTGTAGCTGTGAGGCTGGAAGTCAGGTGCCGGTCCAGCCTCTCGGCCTTATCCCGTGCATCCTCTGCTGGGCCCCACAAGGGAGGGAAAGCACTCACAGCACTGGTAGGTTTCCAGCTAGCCCCACGACACTCCATTCTCACAAGCATAACCTGTTGGGAGCCGCCGACACCGGTCGCCTTACTTGGCGGACGTAGGGCCTGTGGGTGGGAGCGGAGCCTGAGCTAGATTGCCCCTCCCATCGAGTGAGTCAAGTTGGCGCCTGCTTCCTGCCCCCTGATTGCGCTGGCGACTTGAACAACCCGCTCTGTAAGATAGTCTGCCTAGCAACAGCTGATGTTAGCCAGTCAGCCCGCATCGCGCGCTTGAAACTGATTGGCCACTGTTACCCTATAAAAGTAAATGCCTCTCCCGCCACAAGAGAGAAGCACAGAGGAAGCACAGAGAGAGATAGAGAAAGTCCACCGGCGAGAAAGGGCTGGTGGCAGAGAGGAGGCCTCGCGGGGCCCACGCGGAGACAAATAAAGGCAAGGTTGCACACCGCCAGACTTTGTCGTGTGTCTTTCCTGCCGGCCGGGAGCGACCCCGACATTTGGTGGCCCGTACGGGGACTGATCAACCCCGAGACACAGCGGTGGTGTGCAATGCTCCAGCGTGGTGCTGCCGGACAGGTGAGTTGGGGATAAGCCTGGGCTCTGGGTGGCGCGCACCTACAGGGCTTTTAGACTCCCCTCAGGCTCACGCGTAGGTGACGGGTTCTTTAAGTCACACGCGGTGAGTTACAGCCATTAGAGGTTAGAGATGGGTAATTTACCGAGCGCGGAGGCGCGGCCCTTGGTAAAGGCCCTTAGGAAGCTTTTAAAAGCTAGAGACCTCAGGGTAGGTCAAAAAACACTAGAACTATTCATAGCAGAGATAGATAGGGTGGCTCCCTGGTTTTTACCCACGGGGCATTTAAACCTGCCGTCATGGGAGAAGTTAGGCGGGGACCTCGCTTCGGCGGAATTGGAAGGGGATATTTCGCCGGCTATTCGCCCCCTGTGGGAAATGATACATGCGTGCCTTGACTCCTATGCCGAGTTGCGCCGCGAATTGTGTGCGTGCGCCGCTCGAAAAAAGCAGAGAGAGGAAAAAGGGCCCCCGAGCGCTCTCTGGCGGGGAGGAGATAGAGAGCCATCCGCTCCGCCCTGGAGCTCTTCTCCAGAAGCGGCTCCCTGCCGAGAGGCCGCTACAGGGAACCCTCCCTTCTCTCAGCCGGCACAGGAAGTGACGCCCCGTTCCACTCTGTCGCGACCGCCGTCCTATGACGTTGCGCTGCGGGGCGGACGGTATTTTCATGGGCGGCTACTCTGCCGAGCAGGCTGAGAAAAACGCCGGTTGAGGAAACGGGGGCTGGGGATTTAGCTTAGCGGCATAAGCGCCTGCCTTGTAAGCAGGCAATCGCGAGTTCGATCCCTGGCACCGATAAAAAAAAAAAAAAAAAAAAAAAAAAAAAAAAACGAAAAAGACCAAAAATTAAAAAAAAATAAAAAACAAAAAGGGGGAGTAAGCCAAGGCCTGCCTCCAAAGGCGCGGTTATCTATGGCATGACAATGGATGGGCCCGGATCCGGTGGTTAGCTGGAACCGAGGCGCGGTTTGTGTTTTTCTGCAGGAATCGGGACGAGAACCACTGTGGGTCCCAGAGAGGTTGCGACAAGTCCCTCGACTGAAGATCAGGCCTGTTCCACCAGAGGCCAACCGCAGACCCAACAACAAGATGAGCCCTAAAAGAACTGCAGGACAATCCCTTTTTGGGGAGCCTGGAATGGCTTGCTCCCCTATGTTTTACCATTGTTAGGTCCCCTGTGCTCCTTGCTTCTGCTCTTACTTGTAGGACCATTCTTGCTCCGATGGGTTACATCATTTATTAATGGGCACCTTGCGGCGGCCTGGCGTCAAGTACGCCTGGTTGCCCATGCGGCCCTGGCAGCAGCCCGTGATGGGCACAATGACCCCCAGGCCTACGAATGGCTCGCTCGACTGGCCTACGACTGGGTCTAGGTGTGGCGGGTCTTCCGCATTCCTTCCCTAATGACACCACACAGCAGGGTAGGTGAGTCAATGACGGGTAAGAGCGTGCCTCCCCAGCATGACTCGACCTAAGCCAGGCCCTACCCCATGGCGCACGAAAGCCGCTGGATTACTAGAATCTGCCCAGATCTAGATGCCTCTCCGAGGGGATCACACGGAGGGGCATGAGTGCATGCCTATGTGCATCCAGGTTCCGTCCAGTTCACTCCTGGCCCTGGAAAAAGGACGAGGGTCTCAAGGCCTTGGTGGACCCAGGGACGGCCGACCAGGGTCCAAGCCAAGGGCCTACGGTGGGCCTCAACACAGGGCATAAGCCTCTGCACTCGATCCAGGGCGGGCTGCGATGCATACATTCATTCAAAGTAAATAAAATAGGGGGAGATGTTGGGAGCCGCCGACACCAGTCGCCTTACTTGGCGGACGTAGGGCCTGTGGGTGGGAGCGGAGCCTGAGCTAGATTGCCCCTCCCATCGAGTGAGTCAAGTTGGCGCCTGCTTCCTGCCCCCTGATTGCGCTGGCGACTTAAACAACCCGCTCTGTAAGATAGTCTGCCAAGCAACAGCTGATGTTAGCCAGTCAGCCCGCATCGCGCGCTTGAAACTGATTGGCCACTGTTACCCTATAAAAGTAAATGCCTCTCCCGCCACAAGAGAGAAGCACAGAGGAAGCACAGAGAGAGATAGAGAAAGTCCACCGGCGAGAAAGGGCTGGTGGCAGAGAGGAGGCCTCGCGGGGCCCACGCGGAGACAAATAAAGGCAAGGTTGCACACCGCCAGACTTTGTCGTGTGTCTTTCCTGCCGGCCGGGAGCGACCCCGACAATAACCCACTGAGAACATGCCTGGAGTGGAACCAAAACCAGCGCCTCTGCACCAGGCTGTGATGGGAGCTCCTGCCGTGATGAGTGCGGTCCTCCTATGCTCACTCCACGTCAGCTCACAGGAGTGAAACTTCAGACTAATGCAAATGTCTCACATTTACATTATATCATCTCTCTCCTGCCTGCGCAAGATAAAACTACATCTCTTGTTTTGGTGGAGATGTTATTGCTTCTGAGTAAAGTTTCTGTGCATTTATTATTCTCTTGGACAGTATTCCTTTTCAGAAAAAGCCATCTGTATCTAAAAACAAATCACAACACATGTGGGCAGGGCTACAGACCCATGAACAAGACCAGTGTCAAAAATAGATGGTAAAGAGGGCTGGAGATTTAGCTCAGTGGCATAAGCACTTGCCTTGTAAGCAGGCAGTTGTGAGTTTGATCCCTGGTACTGATAAAAAGGAAAAAGACAAAAAAAAAGTAGATGGTAAATATGTGAAATCGAACACTCTGGGTGGGAGCAGAGGATGGCAAGTTTTATGTTTTCTAAATAACTGCACCTCAGGAACTATTTGGCATTGAAACAAATGACCTCAAAGCAAAATGTCCAATTATAAACAGGAATTGAAAACCAGCAGATCATCTCTTAGGTAAAACACAGCCTTTGCAAAGAATGTCACCTTCAGTGGCCATAAAGAGCACTTTTTTTGGACCTAGAAAAACGATTTGATAAATAAAACTGCATCACCAGTTTAAAATAATAATATGAAACAGCAGCAATACAACAATGACAAACTCACCGCTGTTAAGAACTGTTTGTTGTGAACTCTTCGACTTTATGTTTTGTTTCGCTTTGGTGGGTTTTTCTGAATTCCCGTCGTCTTTCTTCCCTTTCCTTTTCAGAGGCTGAGGAGATGAGTTGTCGCTGGATCTGACTGTTGACTTAGAGTGGCGATCATTTCCCTAAGTGGTGAAAGAGTGGACCCTTAGCAACGGCAAGGGAATTCCCCCAGAGGATTCCTGGTCTGCACCTACCCTTGATAGTGGACAATACAACAGAGTAGTGACTGTGTGACTGTCCCTCAATATGCCATGCTCCCTCAAATCCATCCCCCTAGAGGCAAAAGAAGAGCCTGGCAGAGAAAGGAGAATGAACACAAGAGCTCACAAGGGTTCAGCATTTAATATGCACTAGGTGTGCTTCAAAATGACTGCTCGCACAAACTGTGAGCTCACACATGGGACTCAGACCTGCCTAATGTCCCAGGAAGCTGGACACCTCTACACACTCTTCTCTCTGCACTTCTGATGGAACAGCAGGGGTCTCTGGATGGGGATGGGCAGTGGCTCTCTCTCTGATCAACAAATCTAGAAACAGTTTCTTAATTAGCTGTCACTGTGTATAAGCAGTACAAACACAACCCCTGCTCCAACTGTAACTCATCTGTTGGTGGCCACCAGGTCCCCAAGAATTGCAAATGCAGAGCAAAGTAGAGGTACAAGCATCTCATGCCCCATGAGCATCCCGCTGTCCCTGCTCCTGTAAGGCAGCCACAAGGGATGGCATGATCAGAGGTGGCCTTTGGTCCCCACATGGATCTCACAGTGAAGACCTTCCCCCCCCCAACAATGGGCACCTGAGCACAAGTGCCAGGGTGCCTCTCAGGGGCTCTTGGCACTACCTAGGTGCAGCTCCAGGAGCCATATCCAGTAATGGCCACTGCAAGGAACAGCTGTCTGTTCCAGTAAGAAACCCACTCCCAACACAGCAGCCTGGGCGCCCAGATGCTCGGTGCTCACCTCAACTGAGCATGCAAGGTGCAGGCTGCAGGTGGTGAAGAGTGTGAGTTTTAGAGACCCCAAATCCCTGGCTTAGTCACAGCTCTGTCACTGTCTACGGGACCATGGACTAACTTCTAGTTTCTTTGAGCCTCAGTTTCTCCATCAGTTGAACTACCTTCAGGTGTATTTTGAGAATGAATGGGCTCATTATAAAGCGGCTGGTCCAGTGCCTGAGGATGAGTATCAGAGTACTTTCTCCAGGAACAGAGAGCTAATGTCTTTTTCTTTAAAATCATACCAAACTCACACCATAATGGGTGCAATCTGTATGCAACATCTGTACTATGCTAAAATGTTAAAATAAATGTAGTAATATTAAATAAACAAATCTAGCTAGAAACCTATTATAACCACTCATTTTAAACATTTATATATTCAGTCATCCAGAAGCATTTAAATGGCTTTAGCCATCATCCAATTAAGAATAGAAAAATCTGCAGCCTTACAAATGTAGTTATTGATGCTATTTTGTCATAGCCTACAAGAAAATGAATTATGCATAGATTTATTAACAGTATGGAAACTTGTTCAAATCTCTAACAGTTTTTGCATAATTTAATTTCCTATTCCAACTGCAATTCAAACACACAGTTTCCATTTAATTATTACATTTGCTGGAACCAGAGGATTTTCTTCTCTTTTTTCCATTCTTTTCAGCAATTCTTTCTAGCAAGACCATAAGCTAACAGAAAAAACTGTTAATATAATTATAATAGACATTCTAAAGCCATCAACCAAGCCTCATATTTCAGTCATTTTCAATGGATTCTATTCATCCCAAGATTTTTAAATTGTGGACGCTTTAGGTGACAGCAGCAACCCTTCACAAGGGACCTTCACAAGTGGCTAGAAGGTCCAAAGATAGTGTTAAACTTTACAGCACCAGGATGGAGCCAGGTGGGGGAGGGACAGGGCACCCAGCAGGACCATGCTCCGGTGCTCTGGGGTGTATTAGGAAAGGGTGAGCCAGGGAGGAGGAGAAACCTCACCCTGCAAAGCAGGAGATGGACGCCGTTTACTAATCCTTGTTATGCTGACCACATAGGGAAGTTCTGATTTACTCCATTTCTGACAGGGACACTCAAAAGGGTGATTTGGGAGCACTGGAAGAAGGCTAGTTGACTCAAACACCTGCATGTGCTATAGCTCTGATAGCTGATCATCCCTCACACGTCCAGTATTGGGTGATGACTAATTGCCAGGAATTCGGTGAGCAAAAAGTAAATGAACGTGAGAGAAAGAATCATTCTGTATTTCAGCCAGAAACAATTGAGACATTTTCAATAAAAAGAAAAAACACTGACTCTGCTGAAGTTCTCATAACAGAAGATAAATATACAGCTCACTGCATATAAATATATAAATAACATACATTATATAGATAGGGAAACTGATTTTAGTACTTGATTATACCTATTATATGTGACAGGTAAGTAAAGGATCTGTAGCTAGGGAAGGAGGCAGGAAGGAAGGAAGTCTTTTCTCTTTTCTCTTTCATGGACCCTGCATTTGACCTGTAATCTGAATACAGCTATGGCCCTTGTTATTTGGGGAGCGTAAGAGATAGAAGCAGCTTTGCCAACTCGCACGGCTATAATATTTGATAAAACTGAGTGCCTCTTATGTTCTACCTACGTACTAGCAGAGATACCTGCCACATTTAGTAAGTGCTGTTATCTGGGTTTTACAACTAAAGGAATTCACTGCTCAGGCCCTGATTTTCCTATAAACTGAAGCTTTCTAACACTGAAAAACTAGAAGCACCTCTTACATCACATGATTCCCTAAACCATACATCCCAAAGTAAATGATTATGGCTCTATCTCAAAACAGAAAGAATCAAGAAATGGTCCAATTTTATAGGACACATCCTACAAAAAGCTAGACCTCCATGTTGGGCTTCAACCACTGCCCTGCCTATAAATACCTGGGGTAGGGTTGAAAAATGTAGTGAACGCTTAATTTTTTAACGAATTACTGTAAAAGACCTATTGCTATTAATCCCCTCTAAATACTCCTCTCATTTAAAACACACTTTTCCCAGTGTCCCCGTCCTTTCTGAAGCAGCTCTGGAGGTCCTCTGTCCAGAATGACTTTAGGTGTGCTGTCATGGCTGCCCTGATGCCCAGAATGGATTCAAGCTGCTTACCTTTCACAGCGGTTTGGAATTTGGGGAAAGGCCAAAAGCTGCCTGTGGCAGGTCCGCTGAATAGGATGCCTGAGGACGCGGCATTGTGTTTTTGTGCCTTTCTGCGGGATAGCACTCAGCACAGCAGCATCCACCGCGTATTTAATCACACCTCCTAAAATTATTCATGAAAAATGACTTCCAGAGCTGCTTCAGAAAGTGTCAAAAAGAATGGGCTAAGTGTGTTGAGGTGAGGGGGAGTATTTGGAAGGGTATTAATGACACACGCACAAAATAATAATAATAATAATAATAATAATAATAATAATAATGTTTGAATATTCACTGTATATGTTCACAGGACTGCAAACCTACAACAACCAAAACCAATCCTTGCATCACTCCTTACTCTAGAGAGACTCGGGCTGGGTTTGATTTTTTTACAATTCTCTAGGCTCTTCCCCAGGATCCACTAACTCTGGCTTCTTTCATCACCACAGAAAACCCATTCCAGCCCTCAGAAACATATGCAGGAAACAATAGACCCTCGACCATCAAGTCTGCTGGTTTGGGAGGGGCAGTCTGGGGTATCTGGTGTGTGCCAGGGGCCTCTCTGAGCCGAGTCTGGATGGCGGCTGCGGCTGACATTGCTCCCGCAGCTGCTGGGCAGGGCGAATGTGAGCTGCCCTGCCACCCACCACCCACCGGGACTCTGTTTCTCCCCATGGCAATTGGCAGGGTATGAGGACCTTACTACCACACGTGCGTAACCTCCCTCGCAGTGACTCTGTGATAGCTACTCATGACAAGCATGCAGTTTTTAATAAAAAGTTAGAAATCATCGCAGTATCTTGTAAATTACTGTTATTAAACCATTGAGTCATATTGCTGGTGTGTTGCACTCCCTTAGTGGCTGCGGACCAGGCAGAGCTCCTGGCTGGCGCTGACCCGTCTCTCCGGTAGGGGGCGCCGTTGCCCACGCGGCGACCTGGCCCCAGCCTTCCCCAACTCAAAGTAACCCAGGGTGACTCTTTCGCATCTTCTCTTTGTTCTTAGAGATACAATCGCGACCCAAATTGTTCTAACTCGCTCGCTGCCCTGGGTCCCCGCATTGCTCCGCAGAATGCATCCCGGGCTGTCCCGAGTCGGGGTCCCCGCGAGTCCCCTGGGCTGCGCAGGCCAGCGGCTCCCTCCACCTCTCTTCTCCCTTTCCAGCGGCAGCGGGGTGGAGGTCGAGGTCAGCAGACCTCTCAGAGTCCCCAGCTCACGCCTCCTCTGCTCCTATCACACGGAGTCCCTACGCATTAAAGGAACCCAGTGCCTGTCCTTAAACTGCTAAAAGTCCACTTGTGACTCCCTCAGTGGCGCTCCCTGCCGGGAGTCCAGGGCCACCTCCCCCCCCCCTCCTCCCCACACCGAAGGGTGCAGTGAACACCCTCTGTACACACCGGGGTGATACTGGGGCTCCTGAAGAGCCCCCCACCTGCCTTACCACCTGAAACATATGGCCTTGTTTTGTGGTTTTGCCTCCCAAATCTGGCGTGCTCTTAAGCTCATCCCTATCTGATAGCAGGGTGCGTCCTGTCCCCTCTTTAGGACACACCTTCCACACCCGTGGTGTTAGGGATCTCCAGACCCCTACAGGGCCCAGGCCAGAAAACCCCTCAGAACAGCTGTGGGGGATGGGGGATAGAGAGTCCATCAACCACCCACACTAAGGCAGAATTACAGGGGCTGCGACACGTGCGTGGACGCCAACTGGCCCTCAGCCTCCTGCTTCTATTCTTCTGTTCTTGCCGTGCACACCTCTGCAGACACCACAGCCAGAAGGAGCTTTAGAAAAACGTGCGTTAAATCACACTGTTCCTGCTGGAAGGTCCCCACCCAGCACCCCACCAAGGAATAGAATCCAAACACCCTGCCCGGCCCACGTGGGATGGTTCTGTCTCCTGCCTCTCTGACTCTAGTTCAGACCAACCTGCCTTCCTGTCGCCCTCTCCCATGCTATGCTCTTCAGGAAGGATCTGGGTTCTCTGTCACCTCTCCTGCTAATGTGTGGCTCCTCCACTTGTCTGTGCTGGACGATTTTATACAAATTAATGCCCTGCCACATTTTAGCTCACTCATGGCATTTATTGCTATCAGAAATTATTCATACATTTGTGAACTGAAAGTCTGGCTATCCACCGACTACACACACACACACACACACACACACACGCGACCACAGTGAATGCTCCCTGGGTCTGCGTCCCTGTCTCTTCACCACTATGCACCAGGCAGGGGGTAGAGCACTTGGTACTTGCTCAGTAAACACATGCTGAATGGATGGCAGATAGAGCCAGAGTGCTGTGAGGACACTGTGAGGGGGACAAAAGCTGTTAGCGTTTCATTTTTCCAAGGCACAGCACGGAAATGGTTGATACTTTTGAGTCTTTGTTTTTCATGGAATGGTCATTATCTCTGGTATCCCAGCTCGGAAACTCTATGATCATCTCTGGCTCCCACCTCTCTCTGCGCCCTACACATCCCATCACCAAGCAATCCTTTGATTCTTCATAAACAGTCATCTCCTCTGGCTACCTCGGGCCCTGGCCCAGGCTCCTGGCTCCTTATACCAAAGCCACTCAATTGCCTCACAACTGAGGAGAAATCCTCCCGTCATGTTCAGTCTTTCCCTGCATGAAAGATCCAAGGTTCCCCCAAAGGTTAAAAATGCAACTTTTTGTTCTGCTATCTAGCCGTCCATCTGCCATGAGCATCTGTCCCAGCAGGGTCAGGGCCTGAGCTCTGGGCAGGCCCCGGGCTCCATCCCTCCCTGCTGCATGCTCAGGGGGAGCTTTGGGACAGGTGGCTGCTGCTCTCTGTGCCTCCTTTTTCATCTCAAAGGCAGCTCATCAGGATGCCGGCCTTGGGGGTTGAGAAACAAATAAAGAAAAACAAGAGGACAAAAGCAGTTCCCATGTTCTGCATGCCTGGACTTCCCCAGCAGTTCACTCTTCCGCTCCCCCAAGAGTGTGGCGCACTATGGAGCCCCCAGGGGTCATGGCTGCCAGCCAGCACAACTGCTTCTCACCTGTGCAGTCTCCTCCTGCCCTCCACCCTGCTGCCTCAAGTCCCTGTCCCTGTCCGCCTTCACCTGAGTCTTAAGTGGTCCTCAAGGCAGAGCGCAGGCTCAGCGCCCTGGCTGCCAGCGCTCACCAATTCCTTGATTCTTTGTCCTCCTCATAGTCACCAACCTCACATGTCTTTGATTTGTAACTTTCACTTGTTTGTTGCCTTTGCAGGCTCCCTTCTGTGTTTCTATTAGATCCTGTGTTTCTTGAAGACAAGAGCACTGTCAGAAACAGGACAAGAGACCCAGCAGAGGACTGCTGGGAAGTGTCTGTCTGTTGTGCTGAGCTCAGCACTACTTACACACCCTCAACTCGTCTTCAAGAATGTCAAATGACAAAAAGGGATGATGGTGTGTGTCACTGAACATCTGTCATTTATTTTAAAAAGTCAGGATGTTGCTTCATTAATTCAGGGTGATGCCACAACAGTCCTGGTCATTACTGGTGATTTCAAAAAGGCAAGAAGAGAAAGGCTCACGCTGAGCGGCACTACAGCAGGATGTGGGGTCCATCCTGTGGGGGAGTGTAGGCTCCCACTGAAAACAGGTTAAAAAATTACCTCTAACAGCTTGTCACCATTCCTACAAAACGTGTTTAATGAATGTTCGTAGAACAAATAATGAATGAATGACAAATTGAAAAGATTTGGACATAGAACTATTTGAAATGATTCTCAATCCTTTAGGGAAAAATAATAGGAGATTACCATTTTCTTATCAAACTTCCTTTTGAATCTTTTTCAGAGGTAGAAAACAAGTCTGACTTGACCGCTGGTGTGACTGGATAAGATGGTTCATTTAATTGCATGTGTTACTGCCCAGATTCCAAGTATATGATAAAATATATGTGGTATCTATATAAGTAAAAAAAAAATTCTAAAATCTATATTACAAAAGTATTAGCTATGTTTTAGGTCCTTCATTATAACATTAAAATTCTAGAGTTGTTTCACATAATTGTTTATATGCCAGAAGACAGTCAAGTCTTATTCTTTGATTTTAATTGAAACCCAAAGGACAGTCTCTCCTATAGAAATATACAGCATTAATGAGGAACGCTTCTGATACTTACACTCCCTTTAGACTTCCTGGATCCTACAATAGGAGGCAGTGAAGAAGCTTTCTGACTGTGGAAAGAAATCACAATTTAGACATCTGGATGTCATTTACAAATAATATACAATGTAGCACAATTGTCAGCCCACGCAGAAGTCAACTGTTCACTGACATTTTGTGTCTCACAGAAGGTATCATATACTTTCTCAGTTTCATAATGACTGTCGTAAAATCCCCAAATTCCTTTTCAAATGATTTTTAATGTTTCCCTGCATTCTTTATTTAAAATGACACCTAGAAATAAAGTTTTACTTTAAAATAAATTTAAATATCTTCATTGCACTTTTATTTAAACCCCAAAATGTTCTCTTTATATTTTAAAAGAATCATGTCTCAAGCTAAGTATCAACTTCCAGGTTGAGTTTTTTAAAAAACATAAATTTTCATTGCTTTTGTAATGTTCACTATGTCTCTCTCTCTCATAGAAGAGAAAGAGGAAATAATGCCATTTACATTCAGGAAGCTTTTAAAGTACTCATTGTCACCAAAAGTAAAAAATTATTTTTTATACTGTAAGTTGCATCACAGAATATCTGCCGTCTTAGGAAAAGACCCATCTTAGGACTCAGCTAAAAGTCTGCACAGGTAGGACACCTACATAAAGGCAAATCTTAGTAACAGGCCAACATAAATTATAGTTTTCGTTTTACTGCCAAGTACACCTTGTGGCTCACAGTAGGGTAAGCCAGTGTCCTTAGCAGAAATTTGACTTGATTTCACGGATGAGTAAAGATCATTAGCAATAAGTCTTCTGGTAAATAATTCTAAAGTTCTGAGAAACTACGTGCTCTTGCATAGCTCATGCCCCACCCCTGAAATTCCCTTTCTTCTGTTACTGGTTTAGAACCCTCAGCCAGCCTCCCTACCAAGTGACACAACTTGTAAAATCATGGAAAATACTTCAGGGAGAGTCTGTTTGATCTCTGCAGTGGACAACCACAAAACTCAGTGTTGTACAGCAAAGTGGTCACAGAATCACTGCGGAAAGCAATACAAGATGAATCCCAGGCACAGTGACCAGGCCAAGAGGTCTTGGATTGGGGGCCAAAGCTGTCCTGCGCAGCCCAGCTGTGCACCCTCTAAGCTGACATAAAGCACCTTGGATGAGGCATGACATCTCATGGAGACCAAAACATTCACAGCCATCATATGCAATCCAAGTGGCATCCTAAGCTTGCATGTAATATGCACTCAGCTGGTGATGTGTACAAGTGCAACGATAATGCTTTTATAATTTACAGTTTTTAGAAGAGGTATAAAACATGTTGATTTTTTTTTCTTTAACACTTTTGGATGCTTTTACCAAATCAACTGAAAAAAGTTATTTGGTTCAGATAAATTGTTAAGATACTAAGATTCCCATGAGGTTTATAGAGAGCAGCTCATTTCTCCGTATGTTCTTCACAGGAATATATCTTTATATTTACTATAAATTTAGTGCAAGTTAAAAAAATAAAATACTATGAGAGTCTTTTTATAAATTCCAAAACAATTAGATCTCGGTGTTATAGCTCCTATAGCCAAAAAAAAAAAGAAAAGTCAACATATATCAAGCATGCTTTTCCTTCTACCAGATAAGATTGTCAGTTACATAAAATATAACTGTAGTCAACAAAGATTCAGTGCTATTTTAAGTGATAACTAACACCCGAAGACGATGAAGGGTGAGGAAGACTTACCCATAAGGCCTCCTCATGGTGGACTTGTCAAAAAGCAACTCACTGTAAGGCAATTTCTTAAACCGATCTCTGCCGACAGCCACGTAAAATTGTCCGTTCTCCAGGTCCGCCCCATTCTCAACAAGCTTTCCTTCTAAAGTATAAAGTCTATCAAAATACCAATGCCAAAAATTTGAATTTTAACAAGCATTGAAAGAACTGCTTTAATTTATAAAGTAAATTAAAACATCCTGTTATTCTTCTAATGATTGAACTATAAATGTCTCCGAGTCTCTAGATTCATTGAAAAGCCTAGTTTACATTGTAGATCTGGTTACTATCTAGTAAAGACTTCATCCAATAGGTGACCTATAGTACTGCCATAGTACGATTTTAGTGGAAGAAAAATAACTTGTACAGCCAGATACTCAGAAGGTTAAGGCAGAAGGATATCAAGTTCAAGGCCAGCTTGGGAAACTTAGCAAGACCCTGACTCAAAATAAAAAGGGCTGGGAAAGTAGCTCAGGAGCCCTGAGTTTCATCACCAGTATTATCACGCCCTCCCCGCCCCCCCGCCAAAAAAAGCCTTCCATAAGACATGGTGCTTTAAATAAAGCTCAGTTATGATGAAAGATTAAATTTTCTACTTGCATTTTGTCGACATTGTTTACATGCATTTTCTCAGTATACTTTTTAGGCTGACAAATTGCTGGGCACATTCTGTATAAGAAGAGCTCCCAGGCGAAGTATCACAGCCACAGAGAGACTCGGTCAGAACCAGGGAGGTTTGAGGCAGGAGGGAGGAGAGCCCAGGCCAGCAGCACTGATGCGGAACTGCATAGCATTCGTGCCTGTCTTCCTAGCAAAAAAGCGCATCCCACCTCACCCCCACTCCCATGCAGGAGTTCACAAGCACCTTCCTTTATTCTGAGGCTGCTGTGAACCACAATTAATGTATTACTTATTAAAAGAGCAGTGATAATTTTACCAAATGATCTGAAGTGCCCGCAGATTTTTTTTTAAGGGGGAGAGGAGAAAAGACCATTAGAAAACTAAACCAGGAAAACAATGCATATTTTTGAAGGTTCTCACAAGTCAGTTGCTGGAAAGATTTCAAGATGATCATTACAGAAATTTCCAGCCTTCTTCCATTACATGCTAAAGATTATCAACTTTTACAAAGATAAAAACAAAAGTCATTGAGCTCTGTGTTTGTTCACTGATTACATAAGTGGCTGTATTATACGCAGCCCTGCAGGGCACGGAAAATAGTCACCCACCCCCTGAAATGGATCTGTGTCATTAGTACACAGATAGCAAAGTCTGTTTATTGCATGGTACTTCTGGCCCTACAAGTTTAAACATCCACACATCCCAGATCTCTGTTCCTCCTGCCTTGCCTTAGGCCAGGGTTTCTGCAGCAGCAGCACAGTTCGTATTTGGGACCCAAGGCTCTTGGTTGGTGAGGGAGGAGGTCACCCTGTTCACAGCAGGACACTGAGCAGCACCCGAGGCTCTGCCAGCTGGAGGTGACAAGCACTCTCATCCCCAGCTGTGACTACCAAACCCAGCTCTAGACACTGCCAGCTGCCCCTGGAGGAAACTGCGCCTGGCTGAGAACCCCTGGCCTGGAGCCAGACATTCTTCTTCCCTGTTCCTCCACACTGTTTAGATCTGAATCAGTAGTTAACTTTTATAGCTCAAAATTAAAGGGCAACATAGCCATGAACTCAAAATCTCCGGCTAAGATTAGACTACTTTTTCCTACAGGTACCAGATAAAGAACATTTAAGAAATCCTAATGCATAGTTTCACTTTCTTGTATATTGCTCTGGCTGATCTGTTTTCTTCCTTTGCCACAAAACACAAGAATCACAGACTCAGAGCAAACCAGTCTATATGGGATGCTGGTAGTACAGAAGTGCACTGATGCATAGAAAGACTTCCAAATGTTCTGTTAAAGAAAAGCAGGTTTGTTCCAAATAAGCATCAATCAAATCTCGCCCATATCTGGCCTTACATTAAGAATTAAGTTTCGCTAAGTACTCAAGTGTTCAGGAGATGTATGGTTCCATTTCTAGGTTGCATTTGCACATATTTTATTTCTCTGCATGAATTTGTTTAGATAAATTTGTATATATACATGTACGGATGATGTATAGATGTAATAAATACATATATTTGTATATATAAATATATACATTTGGCCATGAGAAGGTATATTGTTTACATATATCTTTGAGTGCTTTATCATTTACTGGGTGAGATTGCACTTACGTAGATGGCAAAAGAAATATCAATCTCAGAGTCAAGTAGATCTAAAATAGTAAACTTAATGATCACAAAGATTGAAAATTTGACTACATCAAAATTCAAGCTGTTTATATGCAAGAGAAATATAAAGAACTGGAAACATTTAAAACTCACATGACAAAGGACCAATTTCCCTAATGTGTAAAAAGTATCATAAATCACTAAGGTAAGTGACAGTTTACATAGTGGAATGTATATATGTGTCATCTACTTACAGAGTGGCTTAGTAATTAAGAGCACAGGTTTTGGAACCAGCTTCCTAGCTGGGCTTGAATCCCAGCCCTGCTCCTCACTGTCAGCTTAACCCTGGACAAGGAACATTCCTGCTCTGACTGATATTTCATGTCTATGAAAGTTGTATAACACTACTTGCTTCATAGGATCACTGAGTTAATAAAAATGTAAAGCACTTAGAATAATTTCTGGCACACAAGGAGTAGTCAAATAGACATTGTGTATCAAATAAACAAACATCAAGACAATGAGATTTTTAGCCAACACAAATGAATGAAAAGAGAAAATGTTGTGCTGGTTTCACAGCCCAGATAAAAATGGACATAGGAGAGGGTTTCTCATGAACTTCTAGAGAGAGTATAAATTAGTACAAATTCTTTTGCAGTATTCATCAGAAATGTATCTGCCACATGATACAATTCAGCTCTAAACTTGAATCTTCCAGAAAACTCTGCTTATGTTCAAAGACCTGTATCTGTGATAGCAAACATTGGAACTGACCAAAAAATTTCTACCTAGAGAACACCGTAAAATAAATTAGCACGCACTCACAAAATGGAATACTTCGCCATCAATATGAATAATAAAATAGCTATTTGTGGTCTAGCTATAAGAATAATCTCAAAGGTTTGTTGTTCAATAAAAGGCAAGGAAGGAGTGTGTGTGTACATACACCTATGTACTTATTTGTACACAAATATGCATATGTGTTCACAATTATGCCATTAAGAAATAAAATATATATGCTTGCATATGCATAGAATATTTCCAAATGTTCAAAAGAGTATGAGGTTGAAGTGGGAAAAACACTTTTAATTTATACTTTGTGCCATTTGAATTTTTGCCACATTTAAAGAATTGCTTTCAATAAGAACAATTGTATTTAAAATCTCAAAGGCTTTTAACATATACATTAATAATGTAAATATGTATACATTAATCTGTACACACGTTTAAATAAAAGACAAAATATACAGTTATTTGAGAGCATATATTGTCATGTGTGTGTGTATAATAACAAACTTAAGAACTTGAAAATAAGAGTGGATTCCATCGATGTAATAGATTCGAGGCTTGGGTGGAGAAAGATATCGAAGAGAACTAAGGCAAACTCCTTGAATGGATTTCAAGTATTTATATGTGTACAGTGCATACTCTCGATTGGTGGGTACCCGTATTACTGCATATTAATTCTATATTGTTTATTCTCCACCTGAAAGAAATCAAGTCAGCATCCATCAAGGGATAATTTCATACACTTCAAAATTTAAAAATCACCATTTCAATTAATTCAATCAATGTTTACTTAAATTTAAAAGACTAAGGAAAAGCTTTTGATATTTTAAGTTTAGATGATTATCTTTTCTAACCTGCCTACGCCTTAATCATCTCCTGGCGTTTGGTAATTTTTTTATCCTGGAGATACAGTTTGAATCCTCAAGTAATTATAAGCATCTTCTAAAAAAGAGTTAACTAAGAGTTAATAAGCTGGTTCTCTCAAAAAAAAAAAAAAAAAAAAAGTCCTACCACATTTGTGGTTGCTTGCGCATGCGCTGAAAACCGAAGGTATGAAAACCATTAATTCTTGCTAATGGCATTCGATGGACCAAGGGCTATGGAAGCTCTTTATGTGACTGCCTCATTCCTTAGAACAATCCCACGGGACAAGAATAGGTGCATAGCCATTTTACTGATCAAGAAACTGAGGCAAACAGAGCCCAACTGGGAAACCCAAAGTCAAATCTAGGAACCAGAAGCTCCCGAGCCTACAAGGAATATGTCCAAACAATCCCGAGCCCTTCCACCTACCTGGAGCAGGCCTTACCTACCTGTGGACAGCCCCACTCCTGAGCGTGATTTTTTCCGTGACCATCTGTAGTACGTGATCCCACTGACTCAAGGCTTTTCTGGGAATGAGGAGGCGAGAAGCGGGGCTTATGAGGTCTCCATTTGCAATCAAGCTGGAGGGAGGAGGGGAAAGAAACCACACTATTTGAAACAGATAATGCCTAGAAAACTCCAACTCCAAAGCAAAAGGAAGACACAAAGCCAATCCCAACTATGATGGAAAGGGCTTCAACTTACAAGATCGTGCAGGGTTCCTGAAGTGGTTTTCTAAAGCGCGCTGACACATGGATCCTGCTGTGGATTACTGGTTTTACCTTTGAAAATAAGGAAGAGGAATATAAATCTCTAAGCTTACACTAGTTTCTTCTCTCCTCCTTCTCCTCTTTTACATCTGTCTCTGCCTCTCTCTGTCTCTCTTTCTCTCTCACACACAGGTTTCCAGGAAACTGGCAGAGACCTACCAGGCCTTTGTTGAAACCTAGCTTTTCATAAACCTCTGGACTCCCCCTCTAACAGTATTAGTTTCCTTGAACAAAGCTCTCAAAGAAAGAGAACAATTTTCCTTAAGCCCTGGACATACTGCTTATGATCTGTGCCAAAGACACAAACCACAAAGGAACCAGAGACTGTTATGAGAATTTTCAGACAATAAAACACGTACCAACTCCCCACAATGTATGCAATCATACACTACAAACATGTACTACTAACACAAAACTTTAAAAATAAAATAAACCACCTGAAGCAGGTTTCTTTCCCACACCAAAACAAAAACAAAACAAACTATAAAACAGAGCTCTGAAGTGCTCCCCCTGCAGCCACACATGCAATGCTCTGTCGTCCAGTCCCGTCCCCCCCCACCCCCGCCATCACCCCGGCTTTCTGGTCCCATGTGCCCCTCTATATTCTTTGAAGAGACTCTGCTTCCTCTCCTGTTCAGCAGCTTCACTGCCCAGGGCTGCAGTTCCCTGGGCTCTTGCACCTGAGTGCATCTGGTCAGCTTCCTGCTCTTTCCGTGTCCTGGGTCCAGGCTGCTGTGAGAGCCACACACCCCTGAGTGACTTCACCTTTGACACTGGCCTGGACTCTTAGCACTGTGCAGCCAGCCTTGTCCTCCTCCCAACCAGTGGTTTCTTTCCATTGCTGACAACAGATAGTCCAAATCATTCTTCTCGTGCTCGACCCTGAAAGCCCAGTCCAGACACAAACACTGCCCATGGACCATTTTATTTCAAGGTTCAGGAAAACAAGCATGAAGCCCTTCACCCTCCCTGTCCTCCACAACCTAACATTTACATCACCACCACTTTTTCCTGCTCTGCCTTTCTCAGAAGCATGATCCCTAGCCCCTTGCAGGGCTAAGCCTTCCATCATGATTTTCTTCCCTGCTGCCTCTACTCGCATCGGTCACACCAGCACCCTCCGCTGTCTGGGGTCTTCAGTTTCTCCCCTGACCCGATGGCCCTGTCAGGTATCTCCTCTGTCTCCCCTTCATCATTCACATCAAGCCTCTTCCCGCCCCATCTGCTCTTAGGTCTTCTCCTCTCTGGTTTCCTCCCAAAACCCTGAAGGCCCAGCTGCTAAGAACAGTCTTCAGGAAGCTCCAGGGCTGACACAGCTCTCATCTGCTACCCAGCTGCTTTCACACGTGCCCATCTAACTGTCCCGCCCACCCCGTTCCCAGCAGTTTCTTTGTCCACGCCTTTCCTTGGCTCACCTTGCACCGCAGCCTAAACTGCCTCCCTGTTTCTCCGCTGATTTCCACAAGGGCCCGGTTCTGATATCAGCACTTCATCCACTCATTCTCCAGCTGGCTGGCTCTGCTACTGCTACTAACGCACTGACCATAGGACTTTTGGCTTTAGGGGATTTTTCTTCATGATTGAAAAAGGAGATGTAGAGCCAATTTGCCCTTCCCACGAGCCAACGCAAGCCATGCAGGGCCTGGTAGGAGAAACAAACTAGTTCATCCTTCCCGTGAGCCAATCGGCATGCAGGCTGGGAGACAAGAACACACACACACACACACACACACACACACACACACACACAAGCCTGTTAGCAGCTGGTTGATTTGGAGGACAGGCTAAGTTGACAGCAACTGTGGTATAAAAACAACTTAATGATTGTATTGTTTGATTGACTTTGCAGGCCCAAGGCTGGTGGTATGAGCATCTATTGAGAGGATAACAATACGCCGTGTAGTAACTATAGGGCATTTCCTTTCAAAAATCCAATATTGTTCTCACCATTTTGTTTTATTCCATTTTATTGTTTTGTTTTATTCAGTGTTCTATTTTGATAGGTTTTATTCTGTTCGGTTCTGTATGATTTTATTATGTCTGATAGTATAGGCAGCAATTTTGAAGACAATGAGGTGTATTATGGTAGCCATTGTTGATTTCCTACTATCCTGTTTTGATGTCCTGTATCACTTTCATTGTTTGGTTTGGATTAGCTTTATTCTGTTTTATTTTGTTTGGTTTTATTCTCTTTAAAATAAAATTTTAATTAATTAGTTAAAAAGGAGACTTAGGGGCACAGAGTCTGTGTGGCAAGTGTAAGGTCCTGAGTTTGATTCCTGTTATCAAACTGATTACCAAAAATAGCCTCTTTCTGCACTTTATTTCCTGACAATCACTATGTACTGACTGACATATTAGTTGTTGAGCTCAATTTGTTTCAAATTCATGCTCAAATGTCAAAAAGTTCACAAATTAAATCTATTTTTTCCAAAGGAAAACCAAATAATTGGTTCTGAGGCCCAAAAATTACAACTATAAATTCATTTTTCAAGGACCTTAACAAATTTTGCAACGATGGTACCACTAACTTTCTCTGGAACCCTGGTTATGATACTTTATGCAAATAAAGTGATAAAAAGCACAATGACAAATGTTTTAACACATTAACATAAGCCCACTGTATGTTGTCTTGGCAAGAGCAGAGGATGGACTGAAACGCCACCCCTGTAAGTACAGAGACGTGATGTGTGCCCACTCTCGATCTGGTCAGATTCTATCAAGTGAGATTTTCAGTTTGACTATCCAGCAAAATTGCGAACACCAAGCAGATATTTTTTAACTTTGCTGTTCGAGTAGTGGAAAGTTCAATCTTGGAGCCATTCGATAACCAAGATCACTGTATTCCAGTAACTTATATGACATATCTTTTAAATAATCAACACAGTGCATTGAAGTATTCCTGTAGCTCTACTTTATATGAAGAAACCAGAACTTTATTTGCCAAAATCATAGTAAGAGGCAGAATTTTTAGTGAACTCACATCTATGAACCTCTATTTGCTATGTACTTTGTTCTTTATTTTATGAATGAAATAGTACCCCTACATCTTTTATGAGCTACTTCTTCTATAAAATGTTGTCATCTTTGAAAGGAATAAGAATAAAAAATTGTTCTATGACTCTTCCTTGCCTAGACCAGACTAAGCCATGCCTGCTAGATGTACAATTAAAGTTTATTAAAATATGATTAAAAGATATTCTGATTTAGAGTAAAAATGTTCAAATGTAATCACAATAACTTTTCACATTTTAGTCCTACAGATTCTTGGCCTTATAAACATTTGAAGTGATATTGATTGATTTATAATAAATATTTAACAGGTATAAAAAATTTAACAAATAGTACATGAACCTGAACAAGATTCAAACAGTTGAAGGGGTGTATAACAAAAGGCTGGTTTTATTATACACCTCTGGTTTATTAGCCACCTGCAACAAGAGTTAGCAGTATTCATTCAAAAGCAGTCTATGCATTTATTATATGTATTAATGATATAAATACTACACATATATCATTTTAAACATAAGATATAGTCTGCTGTACCCATTGTTCTGCATCTTGCTCTGTTTTTCTGATGTTAAACTTTTGGTGGATTTTGTTCTGAACTCATTTTAATCAGTGCATATTTTTATGCAGAACAGTGGATTTCATCTTAGCGTATCCGTGCACGCACGTGATGTACTTTTTTTACCTCTCATCACTCCTCCTGCCCTCCCTTTTTTCACTCACTTTGGTCCCTTCCTCTTCTCAAATATTCTCCCATCCACTTTTCTACTTTTCTATCCCCTGTCTTATATGCCTTAGTCTATCTCCTCTCTCTCTCTCTCTCTCTCTCTCTCTCTCTCTCTCTCTCTCTCTCTCTCTCTGTCTCTCTCTCTCTCTCTCTCTATCTCTCTATCTCTCTCTCTCTCTCCCCTCCCCATTCCACTTATGAGAGAAACCTTACAATATTTGACTGAGTGGATAATTTTGCTTAACACAATGCTCTCCAATTTCCCTGAAATTTATGAGATTTTGTTCTCTTTTACTGATGACTAACATTCCACTGTGCATACGTAGACCATGTTTTCTTTGTCTTCTTATCTGTTGATGGAGATCTAGACTATTTTTTCTTTTTGCTTTTTTTTTTTTTTATATTGGGAATCTAACTCAGAACCTCACCACCTGGACTATTTTCCATGGCCTAGCAATTGTGAAGTGTGCTGCAACAAACACGGGTATGCAGGTGTCCCTACCCTGACTTGAATCCCTCTGGGTACACACCAAAGGATGGTATAGCCAGATCAAATGGTAGCTCAATTCTTAGTTTTTCAAGGAGCCTCCATACTGATCTGCCTAGTGATTTACTAATTTACATTCCCAGCAGCATTGCGGAAGGTTTCCTTTTTCTTCACATTATTTTACTTTGTTTTATTTGCTTGGTTGGTTATTTATATTCTTAACATTAGCCATTTTGGCTGGGGAGAGGAGCAGTTTCAGCATAGCTTTGATTTGCATTTCGCTAATGGCTAGAAAACTTAAACACTTTTTTATATACTTATTGATGACTTGTACTTCTTCCTTTGAGACATGGCTATTCAGTTCACTTACCCAATTATTGATTAGGGGATTAGAGTATTAATTTAGAGAGGTTCTATATATTTTGGATATTAATGCTCTGTCAGAAGAGTACCCGGTAAAAACTTGCTCTTATTCTGTGTAGGTTGTCTCTCCACTCTTGTCTTTGCTGTATAGGAACCTTTTGATCTGATGCAATGCCATTTGTCAATTCTTGCTGTTAGTTCCTGTGCTATTCCTGACTTTTCCTGTGACTTCAATTGTCTCCTCTATGTTTTCTTCTAGCAGTTCTAAGTTTCAGGTATCATTCCTGAGTCTTTGACCCATTCTGAATTGACTTTCATACAGGGTGTGTTACGATTTAAAGATCAAGAGTGTCCCCCAAAGGCCTCATGGCCTCAGGGGCCAGAGCACAGTAATTAGACCACCAGGGCAGCGTCCAGATCAGAGGA